GAGTGAGTGAGTGGGACAGTGTAAGGGGTAGTTAGAGTGAGAGTGACGGTGAGTGGGACTGTGCAAGGGGTAGTTAGAGTGAGAGTGACAGTGAGTGGGACTGTGTAAGGGGTAGTTAGAGTGAGAGTGAGTGAGTGGGGCTGTGCAAGGGGTAGTTAGAGTGAGAATGAGTGAGTGGGACTGTGTAAGGTGTAGTTAGAGTGAGAGTGACAGTGTGTGGGACAGTGTAAGGGGTACTTAGAGTGAGAGTGACAGTGTGTGGGACAGTGCAAGGGGTAGTTCGAGTGAGAGTGAGTGAGTGGGACAGTGTAAGGGGTAGTTAGAGTGAGAGTGACGGTGAGTGGGACTGTGCAAGGGGTAGTTAGAGTGAGAGTGACAGTGTGTGGGACAGTGCAAGGGGCAGTTAGAACCACTCCAGTTTTGTTGCACTCACTGGTCAGTCTATGCCAACCAGCTTACAGTCACACTGTCCCCTGACCTGCCAAAACCACATCCCTTCGTTCACTGATCATAGTTGCTTATACTGGGTGAAGGAAGTGCTTTATGAATGGGGGAGGAGACAGGTGGCTGCCATCATTAACTGAGAGTTAAACGGGGGAGGGGGGGGCGGTCTGAGTGGGATGCTTCTCTTCAGAGGGTCAGTGCGGACTCAATGGGCTGAATAATCTGCTTCCACACTGCAGGGATTTTATGAGAGGTTCTATTCAGGGTGACCATCCGTACCCTACATTATGGGGTGGTACCTTGATCTGATTGCGTGAGTTGGGAAGGGAAATCTTGGAGGACTTGGAATGAATCGAATGGATAAAGGAAATACTTTATCATGGGGGAGAAGAAAGGAAGGTGGAAGGAAGTGTGCTGGCCAAGAGGGAATTGATAATGTAGTGACTCAACAAGATTTTAGATTATTTTAATAGCACCGCCAGCCTAAGCTCCCCCCGCGAAAAACTCCATTCTATACCAAAGACCCTCCATCCAAACTCTTCTCAATCAACAAACCACATCCCTCGTTGCCACCTTGAGCACTAACGGTCATCACCACCTTGATTTTATCTTGTAGGAGTGCCAACGTCCACTGGCTGAGGGCAGGGGTTGGGGGCAAGAGGATGTCGACAGAGAGAGATGGGGAGAAGGGATTGTAGATCCCTTGGGAAGAGGGGGTAAGGAGTAAATCTTCGTCTCTTCAGCAGGAAGTCGGTAAAACTGGGAAAGGGACGGCGTCAGAATCAGAGAATCCCTACAGCGTAGGGGCAGGCCATTCGGCCCATCGTGTTCACACCGACCCTCTGAAAAGCATCCCTCTACCATCCAGACCCACCCCTCTACCCTTTCGCTGTTACCGCTCATTTGCCATGGTTAACCCACCCAGCCTGCACATCCTTGTGCACTGTGGGCAATTTACCATGGGTGGCAGAGGAGTAAATAAATGCCCCTTTTCCCCCCACCCTGCCTCCTGTATATATATATATATATATATGTGCGTGTCCCAGGGTTAATTGTGCGCCTGAAGGACATGGAGTGATTGGGAGACGCTCCCCGGTGGGTAGCGGGAAGGGGGACACCCTGACCTTTGACCGAGCGTCTCCCCATTGTGAGCTGTCAGCAAAGGGGCGGCCACCGCCGCCTCGCGCGCGCGCTCGGTTGGGGGGGGAAGCCCCTCCATTCACAGATTTCATGCTAATCGCGGCTCGGCGCCGCTCGCTCCGATTCGTTACCTGTCACCAGCGCCAGGCGCGAGCTGAGCCTCAGCGCCGCCATGGCAGCCGAGCACGTGATCGCGTCCGGGAGGGAGAGCGCCTGCAGCGCCGCTCGGAGAGCGCAGGCCAGGATGGTGCAACTGCAGCCGTCGGCGTAGTTAAAGAGGGCAATGTGCTAGAATGGTGGGAGTGGGAATAAAAACCCCTCACACACTCAGGTTGTTGTCTCCCCTTGAGTGGGGAGATTGGAGAGAAGGCAAACTATAATCATTGAATGGTCATGCCTTCAGAGACCGGTGGGCACCGAAGGGGCAGGGGGTGTGGGCATCATCGCGCAGACAATGTCCAGTTGGCCTGACTTTGATAGGTCTCCTCCCTAGTTCTGAGAGTTTCCGTTGGCCTACACATTTTGTTGCACCTTATCGTTTAACTCAGTTAATGTTTTCATTAAAAAAGTAGAAGGGTCATAGTGCAGGAGGCCACTCCTCCCATCAATCTGTGCAAGGACAGGCCAGCACTCCTGTTCCCAGTGATGCATGGTCAATGGCTTCAGCCATCTCCACCCCCAAGATGGTATCCTGGAAGATAAGACGAAAACTGCTGGTACAGTTGCCAGTACTGCCCTTGATGAGAAGGATGGCGAAGGACCGTTGGCTTAACTGGCAAGCCTTGCTAATCTCCCATCGATGACGGAGTGAGCTCACTTCACAGCTTCATTGAGATCTTTTGGGTCGATGGTCACTCTCAATTTTCCAGGTCCTGTGTGTTTTCTGCTGCTATAATACTGCCAATCCAATCTGACTCATCAAGATGGCTAAACAGGTTTAGAGGAATCCAGGGTGGTGGCAGGGAGGCGGGGGGGGGGGGGTTGGTGGTGGTGTTGGGGGATGGTGTGGGGAAGTGATCTTATTGAAACATCTGAGGTGCATTGGCAGGGTAGGTGTTGAGATGATGTTTCCACTAGTCAGGAAATCTGAAACCGGGGAACATTTTTACACAGTAAGGGGACAATCATGAGAGAGTAAGGAATCACTTCTCCCAGCGGGAAGTGAATGACTGAAATTCTCTACCCCAAAGAGTCCTGGATACTAAATCACTGCAAATATTTAAAGAGAAGACAGATAGATGTTTGAAATTTCAGGGAGTTGAGGCATATGACGAATAGGCACAAAAGCCAGAAGCCGTTAGCCATAACAAGGTGTAGAGCTGGATGAACACAGCAGGCCAGGCAGCATCAGAGGAGCAGGAAAGCTGACATTTGTGATCTGGACCCTTCTTCAGAAATGGGGGAGGGGAAGGGGGCTCTGAAATAAATAGAGAGGGGGTGCAGTGATAGAAGGTGGATAGTGGAGCAATAGGTGGAGAGAAGACGGACAGGTCAAGGATGCGGGGATGAAGCCAGTAAAGGTGAATGTAGGTAGGAAGTGGAGGTGGTGAGGAGGGAGGAGCAGATAGGATGTTCTGCCTGGCCTGCTGTGTTCCTCCAGCTCCACACCTTCTTATCTCAGACTCCAGCATCGGCAGTTCCTACTATCTCGAAGTCGTTCGCCATTTTTTTTATTCACTCACGGGATGAGGGCATCACTGACCAGGCAGCATTTATTGCCCATCCCTAATTGCCCAGAGGGCAGTTAAGAGTCAACCACATTGCTGTGGGTTTCCAAATTACATGTAGGCCAAACCAGGTAAGGATGGCAGTTTCCTTCCCTAAGGGAAATTAGTGAATCAGAAGGGTTTTTTCCCGACAATCAACAATGGATTCATGGTCATCATTAGTCTCTTAATTCCAGATTTTTTTCCCCTTTTGAAACCAAATTCCACCATCCGCTGTGGCGGGATTCGAACCTAGGTTCCCAGTGCATTATCTGGGTCTCTGGATTAACAGTCCAGCGATAATACTATGAGGCGTGAAGGATGCCTCAGATCTGAAGGGTTGAATGGCATACTCCAGCTCCTACTTGTTATGATGTTATGTCTGTGTCTGTGGCCAATTTTGTGTTCACTCCCTTCTTTTCCAGTTCTTCCATCCTTTCTTTCAGGCTGGATTTGAGGGCAGCTGTAAGTCTCCTTGGCAGATGCTGAGTTGGTTTCACACTCTCATGAACTTCGAGATGACATTAAGCAGCAAGATGCCCAAGGCTTGTTTAAACAAAAGATTGGTGTTAGGCTGCCAGGATCTGTTTCATCGTCAACGTCTCAGTGGCCTGCAAAAATGCTGCAGACCTCTTCTGGCAAGGTTAGAGTTGCTGATCCAAGCATTATACTTGCTTCTGCTGAAATGAAACATCTGGATCTCCAGATTGTCATTCTTCCCATTGCGTTGGGCTCTTGGCTTTGCTTGTTCTCTCAGGATGAGTATTGTTCCATTACATAGCCTTATCTTTGAGGGCTTCACCTTTGGATCATCAACTTGAGTTATTTCACACAAATCTGGGAAAGGCGTGGTGTCTATCTGACTTCCTGTTAACTTGTGTGCTCCCCTTCTGCACTCACCATTCTAACAGCTCTCTGCCTAATATCGCCATCCTCCTGATGGTGTAAAGGGACCCATCAGAAAGCAGTGACTGAGATAGTAGGAACTGCAGATGCTGGAAAATCTGAGATAACAAGGTGTAGAGCTGGATGAACACAGCAGGCCAAGCAGCATCAGCGGAGCAGGAAGGCTGACGTTTCGGGCCTAGACCCAGGGTCTAGGCAGTGACTGACATCTTTCCAGCAGCAATTTTTACACGTTTCACTGTGGATAAATTGTGAGTTTTAAAACCAATTTCCCACTGTCTGTAAGAAGGTATTGATTTTATTTCTTTTAAACAGTGGGGGTGTATCTATCCTGCCCGGAACAAAAACAGAAGTTGCTGGAAAAGCTCAGCAGGTCTGGCAGCATCTGTGAAGGAGAAAACAGAGTTAACGTTTCGGGTCCAGTCACCCTTCCTCAGAACAGACCCTTCCTCTCCTACCCATGCTGCTGGAGGATTTGGTAACGATCACAATATTACCGTGGTGAAGTTAAACAAGAAAATAAGGCTTATTTTCACACCCTGTTTGGTGCCGAAGGAGAAGACTTTACATGCAAGGAATGCTTTGAACGTTCAAAGGAGAGAGCATGAATTGGAAAGGATAAAGAAGTTATCCACAGGATCCCTACAGTACGGAAAGAGGTCATTCAACTCATCAAGTCTGCACTGACCCTCTGAAGGGCATCTCATCCTATCCCATAACCCCACATTCATCATAGTTAATCCACCTAGTCTGCACACTATGAGTAATTTAGCATGGCCAATCCACCCTAACCTGCCCATCTTTGGACTGTGGGAGGAAACCAGAGCACCCAGAGGAAACCCACACAGACACAGGGAGAAGGTGCAAACTCCACACAGACAGTCGCCCGAGGGGGGAATCAAACCCAGGCCCCCGGCGCTGTGAGGTAGCAGTGCTAACCACTGAGCCACCGTGCTACCCTGGTGCAGTTCAATTCGCGACAATTTAAGTATGAGACAAGCAAGGGTTATAGTGTTACCTACATCCTTGATTTTAAGATGGAGTTCAAAATCCCAAAGCTGAACAGTCTGGAATTGCTGTGTGGTGGTAGGTGATTGGTTAGTCTGCAGTTGAGGACCAAGTCATCTCTTTTCTAGAAAACATAATATCCTTGAACTTCTCAGGAATATTTTGTTGAAATCTAACTTCTGCTTCTCTGGTTTGATGAAATAAAGGTTTTACTTACCAAGTGCACAAATGCAGGTCGTGGGCTTATTTTTTAAAAAATCCCACAAAGCAGTGGCTTTTCCTTTGTAGCCTGGGGTTAGAGGCTATGATGTCATCATAGTAGCATTATTGATTTACCAGCTTGCTATTTCAAAATCGTAGTTAAAAGATGGTTGAGTTTAGTACTGGGAGAGTCATATGACCAAGCTTCTTGTTGGTGTTGGGATGCACATTTAAGTGTTCAAGCGGAAAGTAACTTATAGGAAGGATGCTACTAAATTGGAAAGGGTGCAGCAAAGATTTTCAAGGACTGGAGGGTTTGAGTTATAGGGAGAGACTACATGGAGAGCTTTCTTCCCTGGAGCATAGGAGGCTGAGGAATGACCTTATAGAGGTTTATAAAATCATGAGGGGGCATGGATAGAGTGAATCACCAAGGTCTTTTCCTCAGGGCAGTGGAGTCCAAAACCAGAGGGCACACGTTTAAGGTGAGAAGAGGGGAGAAGGGATCAGAGGGGCAACTTTTTCATGCAGTGGGTGCTGCAGGTATGGAATGAGCTGCCAGGGAAAGTGGTGGAGGCTGGTACAATTACAACATTTAAAAGACTTGCCTCATGATTCCCCAAAGCTTGTCTACCATTGACAAGGCACAAGTCAGGAGTGGGATGGAAAAATCCCCACTTGCCTGGATGGGTATTGTGCAAACAACACTCAAGAAGTTTAACACCATCCAGGACAAAGCAGCCCACTTGATTGGCACCACATCCACACCCTCCACCACCGACACTCAGTAGCAGCAGTGTGTACTCTCTACAAGATGCACTGCAGCAATTCACCAAAGATCCCCAGACAGCACCTTCCAAACCAACGACCACTTCCAACTGGAAGGACAAGGGCAGCAGATACATGGGAACACCACCATCTTCCAGTTCCGCTCCAAGCCACTCATCATCATGACTTGAAAATATGTCGCTGTTCCTTCGCATCACTGTGTCGAAATCCTGGAATTCCCTCCCTAAGGGCATTGTGGGTCAACCCACAGCAGGAGGAATGCAGCGGTTCAAGAAGCCAGCTCACCACCACCTTCTCAAGGTCAACTAGGGAAGGACAAGAAATGCTGGCCAGCCAGCAACACCCACATCCCACAAATGAATATTAAAAAAAAAAATTTGGACAGGTACATGAATAGGAAAGGTACAGAGCAGTATTGGCCAAATGCAGGCAAATGGGTTTATTTCAGTTTTATAAAATGGCCAGCATGGACGAGTTGGACCGGAGGGTCTGTTTTGGTGCTGTATGACTCTATGACAGATGTGACCTGCAATCCTATTGTGCAGGAGTTTATCTGGGAGAGAATCCACTCTATAGCAGTTTATAAACACAATCAGTTGGTATACTAGACCCATCAGGATGTATGAGGGATGTTGTTGGTCTGAATGATTCTGGCTTCTAAAAAGCTTTTGGAAGGTTCCTGCAAAGTCCAGTCACATGATCATAGAGGTCAGGCTTGTTGAGCTGTTCAATGTGCTTTCTGAACAATCACAAAATACGTATGTAGATACATGTTACTTTTTTTTAAATTCGGTCATGACTTTACTTCTTACTAGCTTAGCACTTGTGTGCAAAGCAATTCATCTTCTTGAGGTTAGACCACTGCTGAACCCAGACTGGACATGCTTCATTTTTTTGTGCGATATCTCCGCTATATTTATATATTGACCTTGATCTTTCTGGTGAATGTGCTGGAAACATTTCTTTCTTTAATCCAGTTTGTTAATCTCATTTGGCCTTGAATGCCTTTCAGTATAATGCAAAACCTCATCCGTTCTCCCATGAATTCACTGGTTGACACACTTCTACACATGTACTTCAGTACTTCTACACATGTTGATAGCTTGCTTGAGAGTGAAGCTCTCTTCCCACAGCAGATGTGCTTTCACTACAGGATCTCTTAACCCTATGAAAACTCCGTCTCTGATGAGACCATCTTCCAGTTGTCGAAATTCACTGGATTTAGCCAGGTGTACCCATACAGTCACAAACTGATAAATAGCCTCCCTGTTCTGCTAAGCCTTGATGTTAAACAAGACCACAATACAACATTAATATGTGGTGACAACATGGAGTTCAGATTGTATCCACAACGCTTTCAAAATCTCTGCAGTCTGCTCTCTCTGTTCCTCAGTTAGATCTGGCCTGCCATTCTGTAGAATTAGAATTAACTTTATTGTCTCACATGAGTGAGACAATACTCATATGAGCACAGCAAAAAGTTTAGAAGTAGCCACTTACAGTGCCATTTTAGGTACAAGGGTACCTAGGTACAGGATTCTTGACTCCAAATTTTTCGGAAAAAGGAGAGGAAAATAAATAAATTAAATGTCTGGCATTACAAACCTCCAAAAGTACAAAATAATAATAATACATTAGAAAAATAAAGAAATACAAAGTTCAGACTAACAGACCTTCCGTGATGGTATAATGTGATGATGCTGTCACTTTAAAGGGTTGTATTTGTCCTGGGTGTTTTTTTTCTATTTTTTTGTAAGGCAGAGGCACCAAGCAGTCTAGCAGGACTACAAGAGTTAACAACGTATGAGGCCTTCAGGTTTTTTTTTGGTTGGAACAACAGAAGAGCCAACTGTCACAGACCAGGCTTTCTATTTTTTTTAGCTGTAGCAGTCAGGAGCTGTTTTGGGGTCCCAGAAGAGTTGGAAGCTTCAGTAAATGATTCCGAGCTGCTACTTTCTGAAATCTCTCTTAAAGTTGTTTTCTTCCTGGATTGGAGAACTGCATGTGAGAATCTGTGTCTGAATCTGCCTTTTTGCCAAGGGGTGTGTTTATGGGATGTTACTTTATTAGAACAGTTAATTAGTACAGGTACAGTAGCTATTATTCAGTTAAGTTTTCCAGTGGTTAAGTTGTTTGTATTTTAACTGCAGTGTTTAAATAAATTGCGTTTTGTTTAACGTCGAGTAGTTTGACCGGTCGCTTCATATCTGGAACATGGCACTTCACATCTACCCTTAAAATAAGAAAAAGTTAGAATCTAGGCTACCTTCTTAAAAAAATTTTTGAGAGGGTGTGGTCCAGTCCATAACAATAGTAAAGAAAAGAAATTTTTTAAAAATGATTTTAAGACAAAGTTCAGCATAGTCTATTTCAAGGCTCTCGGCTCAAGGACACGACACCCCATTGGAATCCTGGGCCAGATCCCAATGATACATGAAGTCGCAGTCCAACACTGAAGCTGCCAGTTTGTGACACTCATTCCCCAGTATAGGTAACACGGTTGGAACTCACATGTGGTCACCTCATAGCTTTTGAATATTTTGAACAGGTTTTGAAGATTTCGAATACTTGTGTCAAATTTCCTCTCGGCCTTTGTTTCTTCGAGGAAGATGATCACAGCCTCTCCAGCCTGTCTTCCTGGGACAGCCTGTAGGACACACAACCTGAGAGCCAGGTCTTCCTGTGCCGTTGTTTTCAATCCAGCCATGTGCATGAGCTCCCCCTCCCTCAGCCCAGACTGTTAAGAGTCTCCAGCACCAGACCGAGCAGTAACGCTCAGCGTTGTATCACAGAGAGATTGGTGAGGTGGGGCAGAATGCCAAAAGAGACAGAATTCAATGTTGAGAAATGTCATCCATAAATTGCACCTTTCCACTAAATGAAATCCTGGGGATGCGGGGCAGCCATTGCCTGTTGCGTTCTCTTGGAAAAATCAGGGTCATTAAGTCAGGAACTTGGCAGCTAATTGTTCAGGGCTGAATTCTCCATGCCGATAGCTCTTGCAATCTGGGTCCACATACCAACCAATCAGCACACTCTTCTCATGCATTATCAATTGTTACTCACCGTGAGATTTGGTATTCTTGCTATTCTGTCCTGATGAGTGCACTGCAAAAAGATACAATGGTATGATTCTTTCTTCGGCTGGACTGGGTAGTCAGCGACCATTCACTGGTTTGGGTAGTGAGTGATCAATCCTTGGTTTAGGTACTGAGTGATTGATCTCTGATTTAGGTGCAATGCTCCGTCCCTGTAATAGGTAGTGAGTGAATGGTCCCTGTTTTAGGTACTGTGTGGTTGGTCTGTGGTTTAGCTGGTGAGCAATCATTTTCTGATTTAAATACTGTGTTCAGTCCCCAGTTTAGGCAGTGAGTAATCAGTCCCTGGTTTAGGTACTGAGTGATCAATCTTTGGTTCATGTAGCAGCTATTCATTCTCCCAGACTGACCTTTACCCACTCCTTTGTCTGTCTAACTGTTCTTCTCTCTCTTTGGGCTCTATCTCCACCTATTATTTACTCCTTACCCCCTCCCCAAACCCTATCTCTGTATATTAAAAACAAAACCCATCACTTTCTTCACTACCATCAGTTCTGAGGAAGGGTCACCCAACCCGAAATGATAACTCTAATTTCTCTCCACAGATGCTGCCAGACCTGCTGAGCTTTCCCAGCAATTTCTGTTTTTATCGAGTTACCAGTCTCTGGTTTACACGCTGAGTGATCGGTCCCTGATTTAGGTAGTGAGCAATCAGTCAGTTGGTTTCCTCAGTGTGACAGTCATTTACATATAGACACTTGCAGTTTAACTCCTGACTGGTTCTCTTTGTAACAGTTACAAAGTCCCTCTTACTATAGACCTTACATGTTCTTCAATCAAATGTAAGTGTTTTTCACTGAAATAATGCAGCACATTGTGATTATTACTTTTCATAGTTGACGGAAGTTACTATGTATTGTTGGGTAATGACAATTGACCCTCTGTATTGTGCTGATGTATCAGTATCAGATACAGGGCACTGCTGTAGAACTCTCATTCAGGTAAGGTGCCTAGCAGCGTTCAAGTGAATGAATTACTTGCCTTGTGTGGAGTTCTCTACTGGTTAGCACAAGTTAATTAAACACATGAAAAGAGTACAAAGTGGCACTGTACTTTAAATGTAATAAAGAAATTTATAAATCAAATCAGTGCATAAAAACAACTGGCGCAAAGTTAAGAGCGTGCACGTATAAATTACAGCAGGATATCTTCAGCGGTTACGTTCTGACTAACAATAAGAACAGAGGAACTGTGTCGCTATAGAACGAATACAGAGCCTGATGCCTGAGCTTACAGAAGCAAACCAATGCATAGAATGGTGACTGCTTCTTTTCTTTTTTGTCCCCCTGTGTAGGTGCGAGATGCAGCAAAGACACCAGGTGTGTAAATCACTTTATTTGATAGCCCACCACCAGGAAAAACACCCATGTGACCAAAGACTCAGTAGCAAGCACAGCCCCTCAGGGGGCAATGCCTATGTGAACAAAAAGGTGAAGGGGAGGGTAGGGATCAAAAACAAAATAGAACTGGATAGGGAGTTAAAGCACTCCACACCCCTGCAGTGCCAACCCCACCTGAAAGATATCGAGAGTATTGGTGGACACTGTGTGCTCCTTCTCCAGGGACACCAGAGAGCGAATGTAGCCATGGAAAAGTCTGCTTCTTTTTCAGGCATCACAAGTTAAAATGTCAAACTAATTGAGGACATAGCAGGGAGGTTTATAACCACACAATAGGGCCTTTTAACTCCCTCTTGAGCCTTTCAGCCCGTCACTGTGTGCTCATTACTTGATGGCTTGATAGCTTACCCGCTCCAGACAAAGATTTATTCAATCTGGACTGATTTTGTAACCACACCCTATATTAAAGTACGCCAGCACGGTCCAGTTGCTATTTCACAGAAAAAAGGATGCGGTGTTGTTGGTTATAATTTTGTTACAGTTCAGTAGAACCGAACTAAATGGATGTACTTTGATTATTTGGCCATTACACGTAGATAGAAACTACAAACCAATTTAGGAGGTGATGGACTGGTGGTATTATCTATCACTAGGCTGTTAATCCGGGAAACCCAGGTACTGTTCTGGGGACCATGGCAGGTTTGAATTTAATTGTTAAAAAATCTGGAATGAAGAGCCTAACAATGATCCCGAAAACCATTGTCAGGGTTTTAGGAAAAAAAACCTTGTGGTTCACTTTTATTTTCTTGGGAAGGAAACTGCCAACTTCGCATGGTCTGGTCTCCATGTGACTCCAGTCCTGGTTAAATTGTTTTTTTTTAAAGAAAAAGTGGGGGGTCGCTGCTCTGGCCACCACTGATAGCTCAGTTTGGGATGGGCAAAGAGTTGACCCCTCATTGCAGCGGGTCTGGAGTCACGTGGAGACCAGGCTCGGAACTCAGTTTGGGATGGATAATCCATGCTGCATAACACTCAGTGAATGGTTTGGAAATTTTAAAAAAACAACAAAGATGATAGAAAGGACATTATTAAGTTGGAGTGGTTCCAGAGAAGATTTACCAGGAAAGTTGCCGGCACTGGAAGTGTCAAGTTGTAAGGAGAGGCTGGGATATTTTTTCTTTCACTGAGACATGAGGGACAATTTTTTTTTGTTTTACACAGTGTGTAGTTCATATGTGGAATGAACTTCCAGAGGAAGTGATGGATGCAGGTACGGTTACAAAGTTTTAAAAAAAAATCTAGATTATTATGTGAATATCAAAAGTTTGGAGGCATATGGGCCAAGCACAGGCAGGTGGGACTAGTTTAGTTTGGCAACATGGACTGGTTGGACCCAAGGGTCTGTTTCCGTGCTGTATGACTCTACGATTTCACTTTATTTCAACAAGGTTATGACGTTCGAAGTGCAAACAATTTAGAACTGCCTTTAGCAGACTCCTCTCGATAGAGCTGCAGAAGGAGTAGTGAGACAGAGCAGCAGTGTGATATTGGATTGTGGCAGTAGGTGGTCATTGCAGAAATGACACGAGTGTGGGTCCCCATGGTGTATGGGAAGATCCCAGACGGGTAGTGGGCGTCGTCAGAAGCGAGCTGCTGTCTTTGTTTCAATCTAGGTTTGCGGGATTGGGGTTGGGGGGGCCTGCAGCAGGGAATGGAAGTCCAAGACCAATTTTTCAAGAGCATTGGGCTTTTTTGTCCCCCTTGAAGCTGCAGCGACAATCATTTGGACTCACGTCGGTGTTGCCAGGAAGTATTCCTGTTGGCTCGTGACTGGCAATAATCAAAAGTTGGGAGGCACATGGGCCAAGCACAGGCAGGTGGGACTAGTTTAGTTTGGGTCAGGGAGTTCCACAGAACTGGGCCCGGGGTAGGCCTTTTCAGCCCCTCGAGCCTGCACCCTGCCTTTTCAGAGACTATCTCATCTTGGCCTCAGCCCCACTTTCCACCACCACCAGCAACCGCACCCCCACCCCACCCCACCCCACTTTGAATGCGGCTACATTCGAGCCTGGGTGTCCTTGGAGAGTGACGAGCAATGCTCTTGACGCTTTTACGGACAGGTGGGCCCGGGAGTGGGGTGGGGGGAGTTGGTCATGGTGGGGCTTAAGTGCTTTATTTCCCCCTCCAACTCCATCTTGGTTTTGTCTCCTCCCTCTGTTCTCTAAACCCTAACCCCTACCCCCTACCCCACCTCACTTTTTGATGTTAATGTTGCTGCCCTTGACAGGCTTTGCTTGTAAATATTCAACTGGCCACATGGGTGTTTTCCTGACAGTGGAGAAAAAATATTATATCTGTATGTAAAATGCCTATTCAAAGTGGTGGCTTCTTTTTTCTGTCTCCCTATAAAAATATATATTTATACACACATACGTATTAACCACAGGTGATTCGAGGGGGGTGGGGGCCGAATCTAAACAAAAGAGACCGGGGCTCATGTGACACAGTTGTAGTGTCCCGAGCTTTAAGCCAGGAGGCCCAGGTTCAAGTCCCACCTCCTCCAGAGATATGCAATGATACCTCTGAATGGGTTGGTTAAAACAAAAATCTAAATAAAGACACTCCACAATTGCAATGTTTCACTCGGCAAATAACTCCGTGCTGTGTAAAGATTGGTTTCGATTTCACCCTACCCAACCTGGTTACCAAGAACAACGATAAAAACATTAACACACTGTCGCCGCTCTGGGTATAAATGTGGTCCTCGTGTCGAGTGACACAACGGAATCCACATGTGATTGGGTTTTAAAAAAAAAAGTTAATTGGCCATACGGGAGCTTTCCTGGTACCCTAGAATCCCTACAGCGTGGAAGCAGGCCATTCGGCCCATCGGTTCCGCACCAACCCTGCAAAGACCATCCCACCCAGACACTGCACCTCCCCTCCCCCAACCTATCCCTATAACCCCTGCATGGCTAACCCACCCAGGACACTATGGGACAATTTAGCCTGGCCAATCCACCCTAGCCTGCACATCTTTGGGAGGAAACAGGAGCACCCGGAGGAAACCCACGCAGGCACGGGGAAGAGTGTTAAAAATGAAGGAGACAAGGCCCTGCCTAGTGAGGGAGACGGGACCAGTTTGACCAAATGAAGCCGGCCATGCCCAGAGCGACAGCGGACAGCTGAGCATCAGCCAGGAGAAGGCACCAGGCGCCGCAGTAACTCAGGACGCCGGCCCAGAGCCAGCGGATCCCAAAGCGGCCCGTCATTCCGAGGGCGAGTCCCGCGATGCCCAGCAGGATCCAGCAGACACCGGCCAGTGGCCAGGCGCCCAGCACCAGGAGGCACAGGCCAAAGTAACCGTGGATGCCGCAGCACCACCAGCACAGCTCTGCCCCGGCCTTGCGGTCCAACACGGCCAGGCACAACCCAGCGTAGCCCAGCAGGCCGCAGCATGTCCACCAGGCCCACACCTCGGAGTCCGACAGGCCCAGAAGCCCGAGCAGGGCCGCTGTTCCGGGAACCAGCGCCAGGCCTGAGTGAGCCCTGCGGGCCAGCATCAGGCCCCCCAGGCTCAGCGCCAGCGAGCAGGCTCCCAGCAGCCTGGCGTAGGCCAGCGCCAGGCACCAGAGCCCGGCGTAGGCCAGGGCCCCGCAGCAGACCTGGCAGACCTCCGTCGCCCGTGGGCTCCCGCCCCTTTCCAGCAGGGACCAGCTCCAGGCTGCCAGGCCCATCACCCCGCAGCACACCAGGTAGCTCTCAACCAGGCGCCCGGGAGCCAGCACACCCAATGCCAACAGCGCCCCCAGGCACAGCCAGGCCCCTGGGCCCAAGCAGCTCGGGCCTGGCCCGGCAGGGTGGTGACGGCGACGGTGGGCCCCTTCCCCGTGGGGGAGGGCGGCATCATCCACTGCCTGGCACTCGGAGCACGGGCAGGACTCCCGGCCCTCGTCCTCGTTGGGGGAGGGGGCAGCCGGCGGGTTGAGCAGTTGCAGGGACTCGGAGGAGGAGGCCCCTGCCTGATGGTGGTGGTCCTGGCCTAGGCTGAAGAAGGGGTAGAGCTTGCCCTCGAAGGTGCAGCCCCTGAAGGTGTGGAGGTGGCGCAGGCCATCGGCATCGTAGAAGGAGAACTGCCCACTGCCATAGTCCAGGTAGACGCCGATCACCCGGGGCCTGAAGGGAGGCCAGAGGTCCCTCAGAGGGACCGAGAAGGCCCTGTACCGGCCGCCCTCCCTCAAGCCCAGGGCCCAGTAGCCGTTGGAAGGGGACAGCAGGATGTCCCCCCTCCTCGGCGCCCGTTCTGAGGCCACCCCCAGCGTCCAGCTGGCACGGCCTACCACTCTCACCTCCCAGTAGTGACGCCCCGAATCGAAGCCGGACGAGGCCAGGACGCATGGGCACGAGTCGTACCGCCCCAGGTCACCCACGGGCATCGAGTGTTTCTGGGTGGCCCACTCTGCGCCGGTGAGGTCAGGGGTCAGACGGAGCCAGGGGCTGGCTGTGTCAGGGTCAAGGGTCAGTGAGGTCCGCTCTGCAACGACAACCAAAACAGTTGGTGGGGGGGGGAGGGGGGGGGGGGGGGGGGGGAGAAGGGGGAAAGGGGAAGGAGAGAGACATGTTAAAGTCACAGACCATCAGAGGGTGGCCTACCCCAACCCCTCACAAAAAAAACCCATTCCCGCCCACCGCAAGGTACCGAACGTTTACGACTATCAGGCTTTAATGTATAGATGGGGAATGGAGGATGGTCACAGCTATCTGGAAGGGAATCTAACATCACATACAGATACTAGCTTTTTAAGGCAGTCCTGAGGCAGGGTCACAGGTCGGCGGCTCAGTGGTTAGCACTGCCAGGGACCCGGGTTCAATTCCACAATCGGGCGACTGTGTGGAGTTTTGCACATTCTCCCCGTGTCTGCGTGGGTTTCCTCCCACAGTCCAAAGATGTGCAGGTTAGGGCGGATTGGCCGTGCTAAATTGCCCATAGCGTTCAAGGATGTGCAGGCTGGGTGGGTTAGCCACGGGAAATGCAGGGTTACAGGGATAGAGTGTTGGAGTGGGTTAGCATGGGATCCTCTTCGGAGAGCCGGTGTAGCTCAATGGGCTGAATGGCTTGCTCCCACACTGTAGGGATTCTACGATTCTAACACGAAACGTTAACTCTGATTTCTCTTCACAGATGTTGCCAGACCTGCTGAGCTTTTCCAGCAATTTTTTTGTTTTTGTTTTTGTTTGAAACAAACCGTTCATTTAAATTATACAGTGGTGCACATGTGCTGGCTTTTCCAGGACAGTTTCGCCTCACATCTTGGTCGACAGTTGTGTGGCCATATATGTGTGCACATTGATCAGCTGATAGTCCTAAAGTTCGAAAGATCATCCTTGTTTTCAATTATAAAATTGTCCTTACGTGTAAATGTAATGTGAAAGAAGTAAAAACTGCCAAATTAACCAGCTTATTCACTCGCTTGTTCTACTCTTCCATTTTATCATGTGTGGAGGAGCCTGGTACAATTACAACATTAAAAAAGGCATCTGGATGGGTACGTGAATAGGAAGGGTTTAAGAGGGATAGGGCCAAATGCTGGCAAATGGGACTGCATGGATGGGTTGGACCCGAAGAGTCTGTTTCTGTGCTGTATGATTGTATGACAGGATGAGACCATTCGGCCTGATGGTGCCATCCTGTCCTGCCCTTCCCCAAATTCCCAAATTAATCTCGTCCCATTTGCCAGCATTTATCCCTCCAAACCCTTCCTATTCATGTACCCATCCTGGTGCCTTTTAAATGTTGTAAATGCATCCACCTCCACCACTTCCTCTGGTACCTCATTCCGCACACGCACCACCCTCTGTGTGAAAAAGCCGACCCTTTTCAAATCTTTCTCCTCTCACCCTTAAAACTGTGTCCTGTAGGTTTTATGAAAAGTCAATGGGGACCGTGCCCCAATACCCTCTGGGCTAACAAATTCAGCACAGTAAACATCGCCCCCATCTCGCTCCCAGAGGAAGATCCCACCTGCTGGCTGGAACTTCCAGGCAGTGAATACAAAATCCAAGCCTCCCCGCACACCCTGGCCCCAGGCTACTGCCTGCAGAAATCTTGCACATCTCCATTGCGTCACCTCTCGTGCTTCTGGGTGCGATGGCTTCCTGAGACGATGGGGTTGGGTGGGTGGGCTGCTTGGACGTGGATGTGGAACCATTGAAGCTCAGGCCAAGAGCTGACCTTACCCAAACTTGCAAAACCTGAGGAGTGGTGAGAGAGCTGACACTGAGAGGATGGCTTCCTCTTGTATGAAGGTCTAGAATGAGGGGGGATGCAGTTTAAAAGTTAGGGGTCTCCCATTTAACTCGGAAGGAGGTGAGGAGAGTGTTTGTTTTCTGTCGGTAGTGGGAGTTGAGGCTCTGGAATAAGAGGAGATAGGGTCAATGAATAGTTTTAAGGCAGCAGTTGACTAACAAGGGACTGCAAAGGCCAGAAGGTGCAATCATAGAATCCGTACAGTGAGGAAAGAGGCTATTTGGTCCATTGATTCTGCACCGAAGGGCATCTGACTCAGACCCATACCATCCCTGTAACCCTGCATTTCCCCATGGCTAACCCACCTATCCTGCGCATCCCTGGACAGTCCAGGCAATTTAACACAGCCAATCCTCCCCAACGTGCACAGGTGGGAGGAAACTGGAGCACCCAGAGGAAACCCACGCAGACACGGGGAGAATGTGCAAACTCCACACAGACAGTCGGCCGAGGCTGGACTCGAACCCGGGTCCCTGGTGCTGTGAGGCAGCAGTGCTAACCACTGAGCCACAGAGTTGAGGACAAGAGTTGAACCAGCCAAGATCTTATGGACTGGCGGAGCTGTTCCAGTCCTGCCGTGTCCCCTCACTCAAGGAGCCGTATACTTCAATTGGAGCCAGTTCAGAGCAGGTTAACAGGGCGATGGAGATGGTCGGGCTAATGCCCACTGGAGTTCGGAGGATGGAGAGGAGATTTTACTGAAACCTGACATTCTGAGGATCTTTCACAGGTCAGCAGTCGGTATGGAGAGAGAGGATGCTCTGTCTCAAGAGCGAATCTAGAAATAGGGGGCACAGTTTAACAATGTGTGCGCGTTGGGGAGGTGGGGGGAAAAGCATGGGGAATCTCCATTCAAAGATAGAGAGGAGGAGGCACCTATTCCCCAGATAGCAATGTCTCCACGTTCGGCAAATATACACACAGCCAAGTATTTTAAGCGACAGGAGAGTCGAGGGTGATGCTGGGGGGGGGGGGGGGGGGGGGGTGGTGTGGTGGCAGAAAACAGGCAGGAAAGTGATGTTTGGGCCACAATGAGAACAGCCACCACCTTTTGGAATGGCAGACCAGGTTTGACGGGCCAAATGGCAATGAATAAATCAAGCGGATTTTAAATTAGAAAGGCAGGGTTCTCCCCAGAGGCCCGGCATATATTTACCCCTCAACTAACAATGCCCCAGATAGATGATCTGGTTCACTTTCACTTTACTGTTCCTGGATATTCCCTTCAGAAACACAAAAGCACTGAGGGGCACCATCAGGTCGTTTGTATGAATGCAAATCTTTTGAACAATTCACCTGGTTTGATGACTTTGCCCAGTTCCTGCCACACACTGTACTGCAATGGGCCGTTTAATATTTCCAATGAGGGGTCTTCAGATGTATCTTCAAGTGCCTTAATGTCTTCTGCAGTCCTGTAGATAGGACAATGGGTCAACATTTTTGAAGTGAACCAGCTCTCCATTATTTAATCTCTTTGGATGTTGTTTCATGCCAAAACTACATACCTAGGCTTTAGGCTGCTCAATCCCTACAAAAATAAAAGGGCAAAGTTATTTGAACACATATTATTGAAGTGATGGGCAATAAACACTAGGCTAGCCGGTGACACGCACCTCCCAAGAAAGGATAAAAAAAATTAGTTTCTTCTTATTTATCCCGTCTAGACACATCACACAGTCCCTTTGCTAAAATGCTTAAGTCGTGCTTTTCAAGCAACTCTTCTGAGTTTTAACCAAATACTTGATACAAGCACACACACGCATGCCTCAGTCTGTAACGTTAACACAAGCACACACGCATGGCAGACTGTAACAACAACACACACGCGGATACACAAATGCCAATCTGTCCTGCAAGTTGCATTCTCACCAGTTTCATACCCACATATATATCATATACAAAGTCCACTATTCAAATCCCCCCACCTTCTACCTGAAGGAATTTTAAGTCATCTTCTTCCTCCATCTCTTCTTTTCTCTTTGCCATTTCTGCTGCCACAGATGACAATGCTTCCTGGATCTCTTTCAGTCTCACTTCCATCTCTTTCATCGTGTTTTCTGCCCTGGCCTCCAGTTTTTCTACCAAACCTTGCTCCTTTCTCTGCATGAACTGCCCCATCTCAGCGAAACACTGCTTAATGTGGTTTAATCCAGTCACAAAAGTCTCCTGCAAGTGACAGAGAAGACCCAGTATTTACAAAAGTGGGGAAAAATCCCTCAGGGATAGCGAGAGACAATGTCGGTCGCGCTTACTTGCACTTCGGAGATGTTGTGTTTCTGTTTCAGTTGAACCTCGGTTAACCTTCTCTCAGACTCCTCCAGTTCACTCAACAATCCTTTTAGTGCATCCTGAAATCGAAACAGGACAAAATAAAACCACATGGAGAGAGTTAACAGCTGACCTCACAGAAAAGCAACATCATTTATTCCAAATTCCACATCCCTGAGCTGTACAATTCCCCTCGCCCATCATGCTGCTGCGTCTAACCTCTTGGGAAACTCCATGACACCATAATGCATTGGATCACAACTAGGCCATTCAGCCCATTGAGTCTACTCTGCCATTCAATGGGATCATGGCTGACCTGATGATGCTCAACTCCCGTCTCGATTCCGTTACAGATTAAACATCTGTCTACCTCAGCCTTAATGACCCAGCCTCAGCAAAGAACTGCACAGACTCACTCTCCACCGAGAGAAGAAATCCCCTCTCACCTCTCTCTTAAAATGTTTTGACCCGTTGCCCTGAGATGATGCCTTCTGGTCCTAGACTCTCTCACAAGGGGAAACAACCTTTCCACATCTACCCTGTCAAGTCCCCTAAGCATCTTAGCAGGTCTGGTAACATCCGGAGACAAAACAGAGTTAACATTTCAGGTCCAGTGACACTTCTTTAGAACCTTCAGCGCTCACTGGACCCGAAACATTAACCCTGATTTCTCATCACGGATGCTGCCAGACCTGCCGAGTTTTTCCTGGCAGCTTCTGTTTTCGTTTCGGATTTCCAGCATTTGCGGTTCTTTCGGATTTTTGTTTTGTATTTCAGTAAGGTCACCTCTCATTCTTCTAAAATCCTTTCTCATGTCGCCTTTGTCGCAAAAGGTATTAGATTACAGGAATAGAGTGGTTTATTTGATGCAGTCGTATGGTGCTTTGGTGAAACCTAATCTGGCTTACTGCGTGTAGATTTGGTCACCACGTTGAAAGGTGAATATCTACAATGAAGGTTTGTGAAGTTGGGATAAAAGGTGTTAGCCCTGTGATTGGAGGCGGTTAAACTGGGCCTATACTCTCCGAAGCTTAGACCTGTTGAAAGACATAGGATTATGAAATGACTGATAGCGTAGAGACTCAGAGATTGGTGAGGTCATTTGCCTCTCACGCTCTAGCCCCCAACACGCTAGCCATAGGTAACCTGGCACATTTGCCATCGCTGGATTCTGCCCTCCTGCGCTAAATTGGGAAGAAAACAGACTATTCACCGTACACTTGGGTGGTGCCTGACTTCTGACGCCCTGCCATGATTGTTTCTGTTGACTCACTCAAAAACAGAGAGCGAGGAGACAGCACGCCAGCCCAGGAGCACTCCTTCAAAAGCTCATGGCTGCATTTTGCAGAACCCCTTCCCTCACCCCTGCTCCAGCAGAGTTAGAGTGTCAAACAACGCAGAAAACGACCTTTCGGTCCAACCAGTCCATAATCAGAAACTAAACTAGTCCCACTGCCTGCGCTGGGCCCGCATCCCTCCAAACATTTCTTATTCATGTACTTATCCAAATATCTTTTAAATGTTATAACCGTACCCGCATCCACCATTCCACTGGACGTCATTCCACATATGAACCACGGTCTGTGTAAAACAAAAAGTTGCCCTTCATGTCTTTTTTAAATCCTCCTACCTCACCATCGCTTGCTAAGATGTACATTTCAGTAGTGCCTCGGAATGTCCTAAAGCAATTCCAAAGTAGTCAGCATTGTGAAAAAAAGGAAAGCCTGTGCACAGTAAGATCCCACAAGCAGTGATGCTGGGATACGCTGTTTTATTGATGTTGCCTGAGTGTTAACTATCGAGCACACACTCCCCACTCTCCTCTGAAATAGTACATCCACCTCAGGGGGTAGGCAGTGTTAATATTTCATCGCAAGGATGGCACACCTACAGTTGGTGCCACATTCCCCAAGTGCTGCCCAGAGAGTACCAGCCGGGATTTGAAAGTCCTTGTCAGGAAAAGTTAGCATCCAAGTTCAAGGGAGCTGTTATAGAGGCAAATGGTATTTGAAAGATGATGTTGTGAAACTTGAAAGGGTGCAGAAAAGATTTACAAGGATGTTGCCAGGGTTGGAGGGTTTGAGCTACAGGGAGAGGCTGAATAGGCTGGGGCTATTTTCCCTGGAAGTTGAGGGATGACCTTATAGAGGTTTATAGAATCATGAGGGGCATGGATAGGGTGAATAGCCAAAGTCTTTTCCCCAGGGTAAGGGAGTCCAAAACTAAACAGCATGGGTTTAAGGTGGGAAGGGAAAGATTTAAAATGGACCCAAGGGGCAACAGAGGGTGGTGCGTGTATGAAATGAGCTGCCAGAGGAAGTGGTGGAGGCTGGTACAAATACAATTAAAAGGAAGGGATTAGAGTGATATAGGCCAAATGCTGGCAAATGGGACTAGATTTATTTAGGATATCTGGTCAGCATGGACGAGTTGGACTGAAGGATCTGTTTCCATGCTGTAGAGCTCTGACTACAACTATGACTAAATGTTCTGCCCAAGCCTCAGGAGCTGGGCTTGATGTGAACTTTGGGGACATAAGGACAACCCACTGAGACAGGGCGGAGGGTCCGAGGGCTGATGAGTGTCTATGTCCAAATGGATATCATCCTCGGGTCTGTGAAGAAGTTGCTCATGAGATAGTGACGAAGTTGGTGTCAATTTTCCAAAACTCTCTTGATTCAGGATAGGTTCCACTCGACTGGAAAGTAGCAAAAAGTAACCCCTCCACCCAAGAAGGGAGAGGGACAGAAAACAGGAAATGACTGGCTGTCAACTTGACAGCCATTGTGGGGAAGGTGTTAGAATCGATGATTATACGGATTGTAGGGGTGTACTGAGAAAACCTCAAGATCACCGGGAAGGGTCAGCAAGTCAAAGGGAAATCATGTTCAATCGATTTGTTAGACTTCTTTGAAGGAGTAAGATGCCCTGTGGGTAAAGGGGAACCTGTTGAGACACTATACTTGGATTTTCAGATTGCTAAAATGCCACGTCAAAGGTTATTATGGAAAATATAAGTTCATGGGGGTGGGGGATACTTTGGATAGAAGATTGGCTGGCTGACAGAAAGCAGAGACTATACATAACTGGGGCATTCTCTGACTTGCAGAATGTGGAGAAGAGAGTCTAGCAGGGGTCTGTGCTGGGACCTCCACCTGGAAGGCACTATATAAATGCAAGTTGTTGTTTACATTTTACATCTTGCCTAAAAGGCAGCAAACCACAGAATCCACACAATGTGGGAGCAGGCCGTTTGGCTCATTGAGTCCACACCGACCATCCAATCCAGACCCACCCAATTCCTGTAACCCTTCATTTCCCCATGGCTAACCCACCGGGACAGCACATCCCCAGACACTATGGGACAATTTAGCACGGCCAATCCAACTAACCTGCACACCTTTGGACTGTGGGGGGAAACTGGAGCACCCGGAGGAAACGCAGACACAGGAAAAATGTGCAAACTCTACACGGACCAGAGGGTGGAATCAAACCCAGGTCCCTGGTGCTGTGAGGCAGCGGTGCTAACCACTGAGCCGTTGTGTTGCCTCTGCAGGGCTTCTACAATTGTTTTGCCATCGTCAGCCGGCCC